ATTAAAATAATTTAAAAAAAGTAAAGCATATTGTTCCGATAGCGAAATTGTAAATAGGTTTTGTGATAAACATTATTGTCCAAGTATTCTATTGGATTCGGTCGATAGGCTTACATATATTTACAATTGTTTTCTTGCGTCAACAAAAACCTCAGTTTTTGGAAGAAAACTACTTGGGATGAGCGAGTTTGACTATTTCACCATCGTCAACAACAAATTCAATAAAATCTGATGGTTGTTTGTCCAATAAATTTGTATACAATGACGTCGGTGGTTTAACGCTGTTAAAACATATTTTCAGAGAATGATTATATTGTGCAATGGACTGGAAAATTTATGATAAGTCAAACTTAATAAATTTTATTGATTTAAGTTTAACAATGTAATACCATCAAACTAGATAATTTCAGTATCTAACTGTGGGGACATTGTGTTTGACTATGCCACGTGCCTTTGATCGGATAACACCTCACTCATTTTTAAATCTGTATTGGCATTATGATATAATTTAATTACAGTTCAATAAATTAATAAAATCAAAATGCTAATCATAGATATTTTTAGAATGTACAATTAAATGGGTTTTACTCGCAATTTATTTTATGATTAACGCTCGTATATATTTTGAAATAAAAATGGGTTAATTTTATGAATAATAATAATTATTTGAATTAAATAATAGTATTTTATAAATACTAGTAGGTTGCATTATAAATAATTTTTTTATTTAATATTTATTTTCCGTTTATTAATAAATAAATAAATTATGTAAGGTGTCCAAAGTAAAATAAACGCAACAAATAGCATGAATGTAGTCGTATTGCCTACACAGAACGCCTTATTACATATCAAATTTGAAGTATTAGGTGTAACATGTACGAAGTGCTACTCTGATGGAATTAACTATCATGATATTTTAACCGTTTTCAATTGATAAATTTATTTTCATCTTCCAAAAATAAAAAATATAATTTACTTTATTTTTATATTTATAGATTTTATATACATTAATAATATTAATCTAATAAATTATATATCAGTTTTATAGAATTTATTATCTAATTAAATTAACCGAACGATTAATTAATGAATTTATAAAATAAAAATTAAAAAAAAATTATACCTAAATTCTATTTGAAATAATGTTTACTTAAATTTAATATTCAATCTATATGTCATGTTATTAATTTCAACAAATTCAAATATTATTAATTTGAGTTTAATATCAATAAATGAATAATGTGTTGTCTCATTATTCAAATGGGTATATAAGGATTTTTTTGTCGTTTAATAGAATAAAGTACAATGTATTTAAGTATCGAAGGTATAAAAGTTATTCAAGGACTTGTTAAGGGAAAACTTGTCTGTTCTTAAATTACATATTATTTATATTTAATTAATTTTAATTGAACTGTCTATGATAAAGATATTTTTTTATGTTTTTCAAATATGCTAGTAGATTACTTGGGAAATAATTAAAAATAATTTTTTTGAACAATCGGAAATATATTTGAACTTATTCTTATTTTATTCTATGAAATATTTTTGATAGTTCTAATAAGTGGTAGTAAAATTGAATTGATTTTACATTTTTTTTTTACAACATACTTATGACCTTTTTGACATACGTTTGAAAGTTTATGGAGATAAATTTCGTATAGTGTAATAATTAATCCAGTTACAATACACTAACTGAGATTACATATAGATAATTTATAAATTTATAATATTTTGGAAATAACGTTTAATAGTATTAAAATATATGGATTTTATGCTTATTAATAGTTTTTGATGCAATTTGTATTAAAATAAAATCATTTTTATTACATCAGTTTGAACAATTGGAATATTATAAATGGATAATATTCAATATTTATCTTTATCACAATATTTTGATTTGTGTATAATTTTTAATATGTTTAGGTTATGAGATAATAATTATTTTTGTTATTGTTATTACATCATAAAAAAATAATCTACTTATTTGAACAATAAACTTATTTTGTATAATGATATGACCTTTGTCATGATAAATATTTGTAATTTCATATAGACCTCGTTTTGTAAGACAAATTTTCTAACACAATCAAGATTTATATACTACTGATTAGTACTATCTATTTGTTCCTCTTAAACCTGATTTGTTGTATAAATAAGACTCTAATAGTTATTTCGGTCAAAATCAATATTTGCTGATAAATTTTTTACTGACAATTTTTTTTCGATAAAAAAATATTACTAATAATTGAATTAAAAATAGAAGAAATAAAATTTCTTTTGTTATTATAAAAAATTTTACTTTTGAGTGATTGAATAAACCATAAAGAAATATTATTTTGGTAATTAAAAGTACTTACTTACAGCTGTCAGATTTAGAACAATTTTAAATCTCAAGGGTTGTTTTAAGACGTGGCGATATTTTAAAGTAATATAATAAAAAATATATTATGTTTATTAAAAATAAAATAGTTTTTGCCCTTAATAAATTAAGTAAAATTTTGTTTTGAATATAAAAAAACATTTACTCTATACAAATAAATTTATTCTCAACTAAAATTTAAATTACAAGCAAAATTAAGTAATAATTATACATAGTAATGAAAGTGTCGCGTTCACTTTACAATTGTATTTGATTCATGAAGTCTGCAAAATATTCATTGTAATGTTCTCACGTGGTTTGTTATGTTTTATTGTACTATGATTATTACGGATTTATTTTCACCTCAAATATTTTTGTAATCTTCGTTTTCAAGTTTAAATAAACTAAGTGGACACAGAGATTGGACACGAGTGCATTACATTATCATTTTTTGCGTTCTTGAAATTGTGCATAATGTCAAAAAAAAAAAAATAATAATAATAACGTCATTTAAAAAATATACTTACTATAATATAACGTTTATTGTATACACTATACGATTTTTCAGAACTTAGTGTATATCATTTCACTATATTTTCTGGAGGATAAATGAATCAGACGTTCAGTTGTAATTTTAATAGCATTTAAAAATATTAGTACATGTAATGTAATTTGTATTCATTGTTAACTTAAAAACCAGTGTTTTCTTAAGGTTTTTAAATTTTTTAACAAATATGAAATATATTGTTTATATGATAATAAATTTTCCTAAAATTTTGATCATAACGTAACTAAAATTTTACCCAATACATAACTAATATTTCATCATTCTTTTTTAAATTGATAGTACATTTTTAGTGCTGATTGTTTTAATATTAATCGTCTGTAGCTAATTTTATCGCTCTAAGAAGATTTCAATTAGTTGAAAATGATTTAATAGCAATCACGTGCGTTATCAATTATTTTTATTGTAATTTCCTTTACAAACGTTTGCTATTTCTTAGTTACCATATACTTACATTGCAGTGATAATTTAAGAACACTAGAAGTTTTGTCATGAACTCTACTCGTCTAATGTCTTGACAACATGATTGCAGGACTTCTGAATAATAGCAAATATTAAATGTTTGAAATCTGAAAAAGGGGCAGATACATATTATTGTGATCAATATTGTTAATATTTGATTATTAACTTGTGCTACGTACATTAATACAAAGGGCACTCAATAAACACTGAGAGTATATTCGGAAAAAATCAAAGAATATATTTAGTATTATTTCGTATTTAAAGTATCTCCCCCCCCCACAACTTGACGCAACGATCCAAATCGATATCTAATTTTTGGATCATTTGGAATGCGCTTTGCATTGAGCGACTTCAATTGCATTTGCAAAACTACTATTTCTTGGTTAGAACTGAATTTTTGACTTTGGAAGACCTATTAGAGTTTCAGGAGCAGATTCGCCCAATCGATGGAAAAATCGTGCACACGACGCATTTTATTTTTTAAAATGCTCATTCATCTTGAAAAGTACTGAAGCGAATTTAACCAACTTCCTAGAAATATTTTTTAGTAATTAGAAATGAATTGAAAGGATAGTCTGATGGCTGATTCTAATACAGTTTTTAACATAGAATAGTTTTTTTTTTTTTATTTGCAGTATTGCGTACTCATAATAAAATTAGTCTGAATTTTTATGAAGCGTACTGTTTATAACAGAATATTATGGTGAAGTTATCGGCTAGTTAAGAAAAAATGATAAATTGCTAGATTCCCTTGGTATTGCCCTTTAAAATAAAATAAATAATAGATTTTTTATAGGAACAAAAAATAGAATATTTCTTTACACTCCATCCCTCAAAATAAAATCCTAAATATGTATAAGTAAATTAATCTTTTTCTTTACATAATCATATTATAATGTAATAAAACATAATTTATTTATGATAAAAACAAAGAACATTTATATATTATATATTATATGCTAGCCGTGTGTTTTGATTTATTTTGATTATTAGTAAATTATGCTATCTTTGAAAAATAATTGCATCCCAAAATGATGTATCAAAGGAAATTGGTCTTTTCTGCTACAAAGAAATTGTTGACTAATGCACAATATTATAAATTTTTAGATCAATATTATTATTTTTATTATGGCGATAACATAATAAACAAATACCATAATTGGTTACAATATTCATTTATAAAAATATAAAACACCTAAATGCTTTTAAATTAAGACATTTTTACTTATACTACAAGTAAAATAAGGTAACTTATAATTGTTTTTAATTATTGTAAGGTTTTTGAATGTCAATAAAGTGTTTTCGGCCATGATTAAAGAAGAATTTGATATAGGAATAGGCCAAGGAGTTTAAATGATAATAGTTAAGACTACAAAGAGCACAACGTCTACGTTTACCATGCAAACAATTTTATATTTGCCTTTATGACACAAGTTACATTAGCATAATATTATTTAAAGATTATCTTACCCAAATAGACAAGTATTATTACCTGCAGCGTGTGTCGTGCGTATGATTTACACTTTGTACATACGTTATCAACATGGTTTATTGTCTATTAACTAATATAAAAATTGTGTTAATAAAATAAGAATGTTTTTATAATTATTACAGAAATCACTGGACTTGTTGATGTCGTTCCGGTCTCAAAACAGTTAGCTCCCAATTGATACATTGCTGTTACATTTCCTGTACAAAAACTCCTTCGAAGTACCACTGGCCAAAATGCCCAGCAAAATGGTAAGTATTAACGGCATCGGACCGGATTCCTTTATTTTTTATTGCCTGTCACGCAAACGACTTGGCACAAAAGTCGGGAAATATTTTCTTATACGCTTTTGACATTGTATTTCAAGTGTCCTCGGACGGACATTTAAATCACGAGTTCCAAGAACAGAGGTCTTTGACTTTAATGCATGTATAAAACGACACTGACCACGGGCACCCCACCCCGTGTAAAGCTTTATAAGCGCCTTGTCTTTCTTAACCGCGGCTTAGTAAGTTTTTGCGGCAACGGAATGGACCCTCGTTAATTCTACTGATAATTCCTATTTGGTAATTAATTTTTATATTTAATCTTGTTACACTTGTCCGTTTCGGGAACCGAATGAAAAAATAACCTACTAATGAAAATCTGTTGTAATTCGTGTTAATAGTGTTGTAATTAAGTTAGATCACTGGCCGTTCCGTATCATTTAACGCGCATAGCAAAAAAAATAGTGTAAATTGATGTCTTTCCTATACATTTGTCTATCGTTTAGCGTTATCATTTATTAAATCAATTTTAATGAGCCGTTTATTTCCTACACTTTTTTCACTGACTCTAATTTTTTAACGAGATAAAAGAACTTTGCTGAAACTATAATTTATGGTATTTAATGACGGTGATCAATGAATGTCTTATTCAAAAATTCTCTAAAAGCAAATCAGTACCGAATTACTACTGCAACGGATTGCAACTTCGGCTGACAGATTTTTCACCGGAGTCGCCTTTTCTACAGTTATTAAATGAATTCCTTTCTAGACTCATTTTCTTTAGAACTCAATGCATATTTAATTTTTTTCGACATAATTACTTGAAAATTAAACAAATTATTAAAGTTTTTAACTATACTATTTAGTATAATTAAATTAAATTTTTTCTTTTTTTTTATAATTGATAATTATAAAAAATTATTTCCAAGTGGCTTTTTTTTTTAAAACGATTCACTCTTTGTAAGTAATTGCGTTTTATTTATTTTTTGTACACCGTCAGTGAAACGCATACCGTTTGTAATTAGGCCACGGAGACATCATAATAACTGTCGTCCAAGCGTTTTATTTTTATCGAGTGGAAAAAAAAATAATAGTAAATAATCTCTTTAGGCCGAGTACGATTTTGCTGTTATAGTTAGAGCACGTTTCCGCAAATACACCACACATCTCCTACCTGCACTCGGTGTTGCAGTTATTTTGTTTACGCCGACAGAATGTCAGTCTGGTAAAAAGTGTAAACTCTCAGTAAACGATTTCATTGCATTCCGAGTTTTGGACACGGGAATACGCGGACTGTCTCGAGGGAAAATCAAGGGAATAGGAAACAGTACCTGGAAACCTCCTCCGCGGTCGTCTCGTCGTTTTCAGGTCGGAAACTCGTTTATGGCATTTATTTTTCTACTCAATCCGGTTTCCCGGAGAAGTTGAAAAAATATCTATATCACGACCGATCAATCATAAAAAATACTTTTTCGTCCAAGTAATCGATCGCGGTCAATCACTTAGGCCGTGTCCGCCTGTCTAGTCATCACCTGTAAGTCTAGTTTTATTTTTAAAATAACCAATTTTAGTTTGTCGCGCCAAATACTTTGTCAACGATCCATTTCGGTTTCTATCTCAGACTTAACATGTAGTTGTATTCGAGTCAGTCCAGCAACGACGTTTCTTCTAAGCTTTCCTTTAACATTACACAGTTTTTTATTTATTTAAATTATCAGAGTAGCATATTAAATCATGCTAGCTCGCAGCCCAATCGGATTATTTTAAATCGTTTTGCACTCATCGAGATTGAGTATTTTAATAAATTGTTCATTACGAAAATTATTTTAGTTAAATTATATTTTGTTCTCTTTTAAAGGGTTCCAAAACAGACCTTCCGGAGCTCGAGTCGTTCCTGTTGGACGACAAATCCAAAATGAGAGACACCGCGTCCAACAAGTAAGTACCGGCCTTTTACTTAGAAAACAATTAATTTTTATTAATAAGCACGTGATATATATTTACATAAGCAAAATTCCAGGAAATATATAGACGGTATTTTTGGCGGTTATGTGTATTCGTGTGAAACGATAGGAATCGAACATTTTTTTCGAATTGCGTAAATTAACATTGAATTATCGTTTTATTTACATAAACACTTATGCTCTCAAATTTTACATTGACTTCCTAATGTCTCATAATTAATACGCAAAAGTTCTGAAATAAATTAATTATCTTACCAAATAAATTGTAATTTTTTAGGAGATGCAACACAACATTAATTTATTTTTATTTTAGCTTCGATGCGAAGTTCATAGGTATTAATTTTACCGTGATGTGTTTATTTTTTATTAAATAAAACCAATAGAATCATAATAAAATTTATTTGAGAACTGTGTTGTACAACGGACCCCTTGTACTATCTTATTTAAAATACTTTTAACTACTTTTATTTAAATTATGCAAAAAAAAAAAAAAATTTAATCTAGTTTGTATACGACTTGTATATAATATTGATGTTAAATGTTCTTTACATAATTTTAAGAGTTATTTAAATAAGATCAAGATGCAATGAAATTGATTGTACAACACTCTTTCTTGCGAATATGGCAGTAACTTAAATCTTTGATTTTGAGAGTATGAGGTATATGATTTTAGGATTTACTTATCTCATAATTGTGCATATTAAAATATAATAAATTTGACTTGAATTGGAATAAAACTGATTTAAATTTGATAAATTTATAGAGATTAATGATACAGTATATTTTATCTTTAATCTACTGAAAAGTCAGAAAAAGAAAGTTTCTGTCTTTTTGATTGCACAATATGGAAAAAATATTTATTTACTTTTACATTTATTTATATATTTTTTAATAGAAATAAAAAATAGGTAATAATTGTATTGTTCTATGGTCAACTTAGTCATGCTTATTTTTTAAGCGTATATAAAATATGTAGGACAAAATTTTATTAATGACCATATTTTTTAATCATTTATACAGTATTAATGGAAACTATTGGGTTAATCAAAGTTAAATTATAAATTTAAACGACTGAAACGTTTCCCCGCGAATTAGCTCAATTTGCTGCCAGTTTGATGTTAATAAAACCTCTTCGTTAATAAAATTCATTTTATTTTCAATTTGTACTTGATATCCATTGTCGGTAGTTCAGCGGTACAAACGTCAATGTCCGTTATTCAATCAGCGAACATTTTTATGGGACACATTAAAAACCTTGAGAGCATTTAGTGTTTTATTCGTCACCGGTCAAACGTTTCAAATTATGTTCGTCTCGTATCAAAATTGTTTCAGCCCTCCCTAATTTGTCGTATGCATTAAGACCACGTGCACTAAGTTATTAAAAAGCACGTGTTTTAAATGGAACGTTTGGCCCGTGTACGTTTTGTTATTTTTACATTTGTACAACTGCGTTTTTATAAATTTAGCACAAAAAAAGTTTTGGGTCAAAATAAAATGCGTAACAATTATTTTTTGTTGCGTTCGATTTATTCAGTTTCATCTTACTCGAATTTTTAAATTTATGAACAAATAAGTTATCATTGAGTTCTTAAAGATTAATTTATTTGTATATTACCGTTTAGTTAGATAATCAAATGGTTAAATCAATAAACATAATTGAAAAAAATAGTACAATGCGTTTTATTTTTACTTGTAATACAACCTAAAAACATTGCAAGATAATTTGTCATTGCTAATGAACACCACATACCACTTGATAATTTTTAACCAATAAATATTAATAGATTTTGATTGTTTCGAAATTGAACATCTATATAGAAAATTATTGTTTATTTGTATTAAAATATATTTTTTATTTTTATTTCAGGTTCAAAAATGGCAAACATCCAGAAAAAGGAGAAATAGAATACTTTGATCCGTTCCTGGAAAGAAATCTAGAACATCCAACTACGTAATTACTCTATATATCAAAGTAAAAACTGTATATTATTACAATAATTTAATTTTTCAGAGACTGTGATACTCTTACTCACTTACTCAAGGCATCCCTCGGCACAGGAATTTTAGCTATGCCTCAGGCTTTTAAATGTTCAGGGTTACTTGTCGGTGTTTTCGCCACCATTTTTGTTTCATTAGTGTGCACATTTTGTTCCTACACACTCGTAAGTAATTTTTCTCTTAAAAAAATATTATAATAATTAAAAGTTTTTGTAAAGAAGAAACTGAATTTAATTATTACTATGTTTATATATATATATTTTTTTTAATTTTATAATAATCATATACAGACGCTTAACTTACATTTTACCTTCGATTTGTCAAAAATATGAATTTAGGGTTTTGAGTCTATCACGTATATCACAAATTCCTTTACGTTTAGGCAGAAGGTAAATAGAAAAAAATTCTTACGCATAGGATTTGTTTTTATAAAAATAATTTTCTTAATAAATATTTAAAATTTTTTTTCGATTTATTCCTCTTTGCTCAAATAGCACTGCATTATTAGTATCAATACAATTTTTAATATTAGCATAAATATTTTATATACAAAAAGTGGGCATATTCTGATTGTGTCCCAAATTTACTTTTATCCAGCGTCTGGATTGCGTCCAAAAAAGGTATCGTCTAAATGTGTCAAAAAAAAAAAAAAATGTTTTCCATAAGTAGCCCGAATGTGCCCAGTTTATTTAGAGTTACCCGTAGTGCACTACAAAGAGGTGTACTGATATACTCTTCAAATACAAAGCTATTCAAAATATACAAATAAAGTAATCTTGACATTTTTAAAGCTTTTAATCGTGTTATGAGACTTTTTGAATCGCATCTAAGTTATATAATGGTATATTTGTGTATTATTGATTAGTGGTATCCATGTGGTCCTGGACGCAATCGGGCTATGAAAAAGGTAAAAATAAAAAACGTGACGTAGTCGGGAAACTCCCAAAAAAGTATTCGATAAAAATATATTATTAATATTATAAAGCATTTTATAGTAATACTTATGAATTTTAAACGATTGCAGGTTAAATGTGCCCACATACTGTACAGGCGAACTAAAGTAACGGCCATGAGCTTTGCCGACGTCGCAGAAGTGGCGTTTGCTAACGGCCCATCATGGTCAAGGAAATTGTCATATTTGTCCCGCCAAGTGATCTTAATCTTGCTCTTTGTCACCTATTTTGGTACCTGCTGTGTATACACTGTGATAATAGCCACAAACTTTCAACAAGTTATTCTACATTATACAAAAGTTGAGGTTGATATTAGGTGGTATATACTAATGTTAACCCTGCCACTTATTTTACTGAGCTACGTGCCTAACCTTAAATACTTGGCACCATTTTCTACATTGGCTAATCTCTTGATGGCCAGTGGTCTTGGTATTACATTTTATTACTTGATACAAAATTTACCAGCCATCAGTGAGCGACCCCAGTATGGTACTCTGGACACTTTCCCCGCATTTTTCAGCATTACTGTATTTGCCATGGAAGCAATAGGAGTGGTAAGTAAATCTATATATTCGTATTATCATTGATCATAATAAAAATCATTCATAAATTAAAGATGATTTTATATGACAATTATAATTTTTTTTTATAGGTGATGCCCTTAGAAAACAACATGAAGACACCCAAACATTTCTTAGGAGTATTTGGTGTTTTGAACCTTGGTATGGGCGGTGTTACTATTGTTTATATTATGCTAGGTTTTCTTGGCTATCTCCAATATGGCGAAGGTACAAAGGACAGTATAACTCTCAACTTGCCTACTGTAGATATGTAAGTGTTACAACACTAAAAATTTCAGCTAAAATATTAATACTAATTAATATTATTAAATATAGAGCTGCTCAATTGGCTAAGATATTTATTAGTTTGGCTGTGTTTTTTACCTATGGTTTACAATTTTATGTGTGCCTGGAAATTGGATGGAACCAAATACAAGGATGTTATGAAAAAGCTAGTATGTTCCATAACTATATCTTAAGGACTATACTGGTTTTGGCATCTGGTAAGTGAAAGATACATCATAAATAATTAATAATCAATTAAATAATAAAAAATTTTTTTTTAATTTTTTCTTTATAGTTGGTGTTGCTATAGCTGTACCTTCCATAAGTCCATTTATAGGACTTATTGGTGCTTTCTGTTTTTCATTGCTTGGTATAATAGCACCAGTTATTATCGAGTTGGCAACTTGTTGGGATAATGTTACGCTTTGGATGAAATTTAGAAATTTTGTGTTGATTATTGTGGGGATCATGGCACTAATATTTGGAACATCGAGCAGTGTATCAGATATTTTAAAATTATATTTAAGCACTAGTACTTCAGCAGGAGGGTTAACTAATGGAACCTCAGTTGCTGCAGTTTGATAGTGATAATGAATCATTGTCAGAGTTACAATACTTAATTGTAAATGGCAATTTGTAACAGTCATTATTAAAATTTCAGTATTCAGTTTAATTTTATAAAATGTTTTTAATACTATTACTTTTTTTAATGAGTATGTGTGTAAAATGTAAAATCTAAATACTGCACACATACAAGAATAATTATTAATATAAGTATTAAAAATTTGTTCTTTTTTATGTAAGTTTATGTTACAGACTTACCTAATTATTATTGTATGGTTGTTTTAATGTTAATTATTTAAGACTTTATGACGCTAAGGCAAGCTATGAAATTATAATTTTATAAAAAATTTATTTTAAAAATACATTATAATATTGATAAATGTTATATATATTTTTTATACATAATGATGATTATTATAATAATTAATAAATAAAAAAAAACTATAAATGTCCTAAGGACTAGATAAAAAAATTGTTGATATTTTTCAAAATAAATAATTCACTAACAAAAATAATTGTATTCTAAAAATGAAAATGAGATACAATTTATAGTTGAGGATAGTTTGTTTTTAAACTTTTCATTCGGATATCAATACTATTTAGAGCTTCTAACATTGGATAAATTTCAGCCATAAGTCCATTAGTGACACTCATCAGATCTTCTTCAGTCATTATGAATCCATCTAATTAAATACAACTTAATACAATGTTTTAAAAATTAAAGTTAAACAAATCATTCATACCCGTATGTTTTTCAATTAATAGATGACAATAAACACTCAAAATGTTTGTAATATCATTGTTATCATCTTTTGTACCAGTTGATATTAGTTCACTAGGCCAATGATTTCTACACATATTAAAAAATAACAGTATCATCCATTAATTATGAATAATAATAACTATTTGTAAATATGTATTAGAAATTATTCAAACACAAAGTGTAGATTTGATAATCTCAAGATACAACACAATTCATTAATTAAAAAAAAAAACTACTATTAAAAAATAGTTTTTATTGAGAATTTAGTAACTATTAACAAGACACTTTTGAATAACTACAACAGAAATATATTAATTTAATTTCAAAAAAGTAATAGAAAAAATGTTTTACAGATATTTTCTTTCAAAGGGTAGTGAAGACTTATTCATCGAAATTAAAAAGAAAATCATGTACATTGTTACATGACAAATTAAATTTAGCATCTCAAAATATTTATTTATTATAATTCAATAACTAGAAATGTAAAATTGAGAAAAGACCTAATTATTAATTTTAATTTTATCACAGAAATTTATTAAAAGTTTGGCAGTCAATTGTTATAAAATGAATTAGTTTTGCATGAAAATAAATATATGCTTAAATATATTTTACTTGTCTTGCTTAGTGTAAGACACTGAATTGGGCCAATCTGAATCTTGCAATATTTGAGCAAGACTTTCCTCAGGAGTTGGTGCTAAAGGATGGGTACCACTTTCTTCTTTAGCTCGTAAAAGTGCTCGTCTAACTGTACTAACTTCAGCAGATAAATCTTGAAGCTATTATAATAAAAAACCATTTTTTATAATTTATTCTCTTGTAACCATTAAAATTTTAAGCATTTACTTTGCTTTCAGTGGCTAAATTTGATAAAGTAGAGTACATTTTGGCTGCAGATTCTAGTAAAAGTAAAAGTTGCAGGTGTAGTTTGTATAATGCCCTACCCAAATCTAAAATTAATTCTTCATTTAAATAACTTCCTCCATTACTACTTGAACTAGATCTTTCAAGTATGTGTTCACCAAGTTTAAAAACTTTCATAGTGGTGCGTACTGAAAATAAACACTAAAAAAAAATAAAAATAATAAAAATGTTTTAATTTTATCTGCAGATTCAAAAATGCATTAATGTTATTGCCAACCTCAGATGTTTGATCTTTACGATCAAGTAATGTGTCAATATGTTCACGGATTTGTAACATTGAGAAATGTAGGTTCCCTGATGTTTTCAATGAGATAGGAGTAAACCATACAAGGGGTGGATCTGCATGAGTAGTCAACACAATAATTGCTGAATTTAAATGAGTTAATAATTGTCTACAATTGGTATGACTTTGGGTACAACATCCAGTAGTTGCAGGATCTTCTTCTACATATTCACTTAGGGTTGTACAAGCTTCTTGTGTGAGCAACACACATTTTTTTGTAATATCCTTTTGATGAATAATTATATAATAAGTTTATTATTTGTAATACCACAATATAAAATATTTATAACGAAATTTTTATTTACTTTTACTACTCTATGTAAAATATGAAATATGTGAAGGGTGTTTGTAGGGGTTTGTTCAAGTAAAGAACGCACAGTGGTTCTCCAACATTCTTCAGTGTCATCTCTTTGGAAGGATATCAAAGCATTAAGGTTTGGTGATGCATTACAAGGTGTTAAATCACCCAAATCAATACTTGATCCTCTATAAAGTTTAAATTTTAATTATTATTTTAATAAATAATATTATTAAAAAATAACATTATCTCCTTAGCTTCTATCTTAACTATTTGGGATCAGCTCTATCTTATTAATTTGACAGTATTTTTACACTGGCATTCAACATAACACAACCTCATTATAGCTGAGGGAACCAGTAAGGAGGCAAGGTGTGTGTCACTGTTAAAATTCCTGTATGGTTACCCATTTGGGAACTAACAGTATACAGTGCAGCTGAACATCAACTTTAAGGTAGTGACTAAATGATCTAATGTGCCATACCATACCCAAAATTATTTTTATTAAAACCAAAAGTAGAAAAACCCAGCACAGGGGGGTCGCGGCACAGTGGTGACGTGGCATAAATGGTTCAAGTATAATGATATCTGACAGTGATTAAAATCACTATCATAAAAAACGCTTCGATGCAAATCTTTAGATAGTGTTTAATTTTAAAAAATTGGTGGATTATTCCAAAAGCTTCATAAACTGCTTGTTCCTTATTAATATCCTGATTAAGATAAAGTATGTCGAATGAAAAAGGGATTATTAAAAAATAGTATTTCCCATAAAAAAATTATATTGATCAATACACTTTTCAATAAGTTATAGCATTATAAAGTTAAAAATGTAAAAAATAAAATTGAGAATTTTCACACAATAATAGCATTTGGTAGCCATTTTCACC